GTTGCACTGCGGTTTAGTCCACCACTTGCCTCACCACTTGACCACTTGCCCACTTGCCTACCTTCTAGAAGGTCTACAGCTAAGCTTCCGGAACTCACTAAGACTCCTACGCTATAGACCTACAGATCGAACCCCTGATGCCTATGGACCTACGACAGGCCTACCAACTGCCTACGAATACACAGGTCACAGGTTCAATTCCCGGGGTCTACACAGATACTGTACATGGGTAGGGTGAGGTCTAGGGATTGAACCCTGGGTACTGCATCAGCTACTGCTAAAAGGTGAAAACGGTTTCAACATGCACAGAAGACAAAAAATATGGGGGCGTATCTTCCCATGTTGGCGTGGAAGATTCACCCTCATTTTGCTCATTAGTGGAATGAGGGCAATAAACTCGCTCCCCCAGAACACCGAGTCAGCAAAATGATAACGGCTCCTCCCCAGATTGACCAATTTTAGAAAGAAAAACAGAGAAAAAGAAACGGGAAAAAAAACAAGAGGGGCTCAAATGAATGTTCTGCCACTTCTTGGTAAGATACAGTGCCCTATTTTCAAGCTTTTGTAGTGTCCTCCCCGCTTCTCACGGCAAGAGGGTGGGGACTGACACTCGTGAGGGCAATGTGGGATCTTTCTGCCAGCTTGTTGGTTATTTTTCTTCCTTCTTTTTTTTGTATTTGTGCCCTGCCAGCGAGGCAGGGCGCAGTGCACGTGCTGTGCCAGTTCGTAGAACAGATTCGAGAGCTTCTCAGTTGTCTTTTTGCTTTTTTTTTTGCGTCTTTTTACCCAACGCCTTGTTGCTTTTTCGTGACATCCTGGGCTGGCAGCGCGTTTTCACATGCGCTGCCTGCCCATTACGTGATCCAGGTAGCTGCACACAACATTTTTCAGGACCCGCAGGCCCCTTCCAACAGAGCTTCCCCCAATCCTGTTCACTGTAAATTTCGCCACAGTACTTGTCATCGGAAAAAAGCTACACAGGGGTAGTTGGACTGGTGGTTTAAAATGGAGATGACGAGGCTTTACAGAAAGTGTTTTTCTTTTTTTTTTTCCTAACTGGTCAGGTCTGCTGTGTACGAAGGTCTCTTTTCTTACTCGTTATTTCTTTTCTTCCTCTTTTGGACTTTGTTTATCCCTGTCCTTTATCGTCTTCACTCCTTCCTTTGTGTTGTTCGTGTCCTGTGGATGTGTAGTTGCTCTTCTTTCGGTCATATCCATTCTTGTTTGCATCTTTTTACTGAGCTGGGCAGCGCTTACCAACACTCTCCTTTCTCTGTCTTTTTCTCGTCCCCCCCCCCTTCCCTCCCCTCTCTTCGTATCTCCCCACCTCTTCCTTACTTATTGCAGTTTTGCACAGATAACCTTCGTTCGGGGTTGGCGGTGTTGAGCACAATTGCAGTGCTGCTTGTTACTAGCCGTGTGGCGCCTTGGGCTTTCCCATTGATCATTTTTTCTGGCGGCGTTGTAACCCTCCTTGATGCCATGTTCAATTCAGACTGCCCGGAACATCGGTACCCGTCTCCCCGGCTGCGAGGTGGAGGAGGGATGAATGGGGCCCAAGGAATGTTCTACGCCATCGGAGTAAACAGAAAGACCAGCGTCGTCTTGATTTTGATCTGGCTTGGTCTGGTCGGAGTCGTTACTATTCTGCGCTTCACCATTTTTCAATCAGGAGGTACGCTTGCAGATGACAATCCAGGCATTGGTCTGACAGTTCTCAGGGTGTTTTCTCTGCCTCCCTCGGGTGCCACTCTTTCTTCCCTGCTTCGTTTCCTTCATCTCGTTCTCTTCCACATTGCATGAACTGTGCTCTGAACACTCTACAATGTTCTACATTCAAAGATTTCTCCGTCTTTCCTTCTGTTTGCCGCTCTCTCTTACATCCGGCTATTCTCCCCCTATCACCCTGCTTCCTTTTCTCATCATCATTTTTTTTCTGATCCTCCTTTTGTCGTGTATGTGTCCGTCTTGTGGTCCGAACTCCTGGGTAATTGCCTTTCATCATTTTTACGACATTTCATGCATCTCTCTCTCTCTCTTTCTCTCTCTCTCTCTCTCTCTCTCTCTCTCTCTCTCTCTCTCTCTCTCTCTCTCTCTCTCTCTCTC